TTTTACGCAGGGGAAACCAAGATTCTAGGAGTCCAGGGTTGATAGCCTGTGCAATGTACTTTGTGTCACCACGTCCCAGTTCTGCTGTTAGAACTGATGCAGGGGAAACCAAGATTCCAGGAGTCCAGGATCGATTAGTCTTCGATCTGTTGCTCAGGCTAGGAACTGATGATCAAACAAGAGTACTCGACCATGGGAAAGTCAATTCTAGGAATTAGGATAAACCGAAGTAAGCATGCATTGCTTGTAAATACTCACTGATGAACCTGAATCTCTGAATGACAATGCAATTGATTGAATTAATAGGGTGATAGGGTGAAGCATATCTACAAATCAGATTTGCTCCAACTCCAAGTATATTTTGGTTCTTGGAATACTGATGTGCAACAATCCTTGATGGCTTCTTTCTGATAATTGATCAGCTACAATGGTCCCTTAAGATCACAGGCTCACAGCATTCCTTCATCGCCTGAGTGAGCATGCTCTGTTCAATGGACATGAAATTCTGCTTCTGAAATTACAATTTTCTGCAGCAAGGATTAGATCTAGAAATAGGATGATAGGATACTTAGTTTGTTCAATTTGTTTGTCCTTTGCAAAAATTTAAAAAAAAACATTGTATGGTAAGAACGTCTGCTGCTGTAGACATTATAGATTGTTTTCCTTTTATTAAGAAGCTTCCATTTGTGAACTGTTTGGTATGTCAAATTGTCAATTGCCTAGTATCAATATAAAGATTAGATTATGCCACTATTCTAATAACCAGCACACGGAAGCACAGATGTGACTGGTGTCAACATATTTAATTAAAGTTAATCTGCAATCATTTATTTTCATGTTTCCCTTGCTAGTGATACAAGTTACACCACAGCAAGAATAGAGAATACAATATAGCTGGCTCACTAAATGAAATGTACATGGGTAAAATATGTGTAGCTTAGAATACAATATGTAGCCAGAATAGAATGTATATAGACCCTTTCACTGACAGGTTCACATCAGAAATATGCCTCTACATTATGAACCAGCAGTCAAATAGCAGAAGGAACACCATGCCAACCACATCATCCAAATCTCATATGCAGGGAGTAATAATCTGCTTCTAGAATTGAGACGTTAATACCCAAAGATGGCAGAATGATGGAGGAAACTAATACACTACATATGTAGCAACAATCAACAACAAAAAAAAAAGAAACAGGTTTCTCTAGTGTATTTGCCTTTTTCTCCTTGCCTTATTCTCATGCCCTGAATGAGAATACTGGCCAGTTGTGTGGTTATCATGATTCGTCACTCATGCCGTCAAATGATCTCACATTACCGAAAATCAAAAGTATTGCACAAGAAGTAATATTACTGGTCCTAACTTAATCAGTCAAGAGTCTGACATCAGGAGTCCATCCTTACAACTCAAGATTTGCAGTTTTCTTCCAAAGCAGAATACCTACAAAACATTCAGAACCTAGACATTCCTGACAGGGCAGAGTTGCTGGTCAAGTTTAAGGCAAAGGATTCAACATTGTATATTACTATATTCCAACCAATCTCAGCTTGGTTGGCTCTAAAACCTTCCCGAAAAGTACCTGTAGATATGCTCATTTTCTTTTTAGCCTTAGATAGGAGTGCATGGAAGACAGCTATTCACGTGCCTAAACCTTGATTGCTTCTGCTGGGTTTCAACTCTAGCCTACCCCAACTTGTTTGGGACTTAAAGGCTTTGTTGTTGTTGTTGTTGTAATGTTTGTGGTCATTGTCCTAAACAACAGTGCACTTACCCATAAACAAGATGATTTAGTAACCAACTAACGAGACAACAAGAGAAATGACATGCTCAACTTTGTTTACAAGATTTAACATTGTTTCAACTTTCAAGATGGAGATGTTTCCATCTCTTTTTTGAGGTATCAATTTCAGTACCTATATGCACTTGTAGTTGTATCAACAAAGTGAAAACAGTCCTGTGATCCACTAGAAAAAGCAAGAACTTGCAACAGAAGCACAGGGTATCAGAACACAATATTTTCATCACATGTTGAAAAGTAAGAACTCTAAATGAATATTGTCAGTTTGTTAAATGAACTAACAGAAAATGATGTATTAAGAATTGGGCTGTTTTGGAAATAGCTGAATTGCATAAGTTAAGCAAAACCTGGGCACAATATACTGCCTTTATGTGTTCCTTCTCAGTGTAGGCAGTAGGCACAGTAATTCATTGCAATAAGCATACCTTAATGGTATATGAAGATTTAATCAGAAGAGAGAAAAGCAATAAAAATCTACTGATATACAAGAAGTAATTGAGAACCAAGCAGTAACCATACACAGCTAGCAACCATCTTAGCTGGCAACAAGCTACTAAAAGCAAAAATGGCGTCCTTAACAAAATATCGAAGTAAGAGCACAGACAATCTAAGCATGATGACCAGCAGTTCTGAAAAGCATTTGATTATATTAGACCTAAACTGAGAAATGATTAAATATTTCTTTTCTGGATGGCCATTTTATCAACAAGTCATAGTAGCCAAACCAGGGATGTTGTTCAGATGAATAATAAGCTTAATAATCAGGGAAACAATACAGTGACAAGACGAAGTCTGTAACAAGTAATCAGCCATCAATTAACTTCTGAAATTTTAAAATCTAGGATTCAAACACAAAGCTGTTGATCACGTAACTCACGTCAGATCTATTGTCAAAACACAACAACCTTAGCAGGATACACTGAAGCTTAGTTAGCAAGATACACTGAAGCTTAGTCGTCGTCCTCGTCACTCTCGTCGCTGAAGTAGCCTTTCCTCTTCTCCTTCCTCGCCGCCTTTCCCTTTCCCTTTCCCTCTTCCTTCCCAGCCGCCTTCTCCTCCTCTCCCCTCGTATCCACCACCGACGCCCACCTGTCGTCCTCGAACGCCGCGGCGGCGGCAGCATCCTCATCGTCATCCGAATGCCAATCAGCCTCGCCCCCGCGACCGCGCCCACGCCCACCGCTGCCCCCACCACCACCACCACCACCGCGGCGCGACTTCTTAGACGGTGCGGGCCTCTCGCGGGGCCCGAGCTGGTTGCGGGGGCACTCGTAGGAGAGGTGGCCCTCCTCGCAGCACTCGTAGCACCGCGACTTGTCCCGATACACGCGGCGTCGGATGAACTCCGCGGCGCGGCCGTTGTCGGCGGCGATGGAGGCGGAGAGCGTGCGCCCGTTGAGCACCTTGCCATGCATCTCGGCGGCCGCCGCGGCGGCGTCCTCCCGGCTGACGAAGAGGACGAAGGCGACGCCGCGGCTGCGGCGGGATTCACGGTCCTTGAGGACGGTGACGCGCGCGACGCGGCCGAATCGGGAGAAGAGAAGGTGGAGGTCGGAGTTCGTGAGCGCGAAGTCTAGGTTGGACACGTAGACGGTGGATTTGGACGGCGCGAGGCCGCCCGAGCCCCCGCCCGCGCCCCGGGGCTTGCCGCCGCCTCCCGCTGAGGCGCTTGCTGAGGCGGCGGAGGAGGGGAGCGGGTAGCGGTAGAGGAAGCTGTCGTCCTCGCCGTCCGAATCGGAGCCTCCTCGCCGCCGGCGAGACATGTCGTGCCTGCGGGCTGCGGCTGCGCTTCCGCTTCGTGGTCTTTTCTGTTCGGTCTCTCCGTTCTCTCTTCCCCTTTCTCGGGGGACCCAAGTTCTGAAATTTCTCAGGTTAAGGCTCTGCTCTGTTCTGTTGGGCCAGATTCTTCTTCATTTTATCTCTACGGGCCAGATTCCACTACAAGGCAGCCCAAGAGAACAGGGGAGGCTGGAGAGTCTGTGCTGTAGTTTGATTTTGACGAGTACAACCCACACAGGACAAACATGGAAAAAGAAACACGAAGAAGTGTATATATGTCTACCGCATTTCTCCGCAACCTTTGAAGCCTCGAAGGACATTATCGCTCTGATGTCATCACTCATGACACAGAAGAAGAGTGAGTTGTCGATCATCTTTTCCCCTTTCCCCAAAATAATAACTATACATTCATAACGATTAGGATTTAGGAATGATAGGAACACTTGGTCGCAAAAGGAAAATGCGAGTACACATAAATGAACCTGGAGTGATTTTAACCATTGTGTTTCGACTTGGAGTGCTTCAGTAAAATATACAGTATTGTAGGTGTAGCCGTGCTCGTCGGGGCAAAAAAAGAAAAAAGAAGAGTAAAGTTCACTGACGGTCTTTAAACTTGTGTGAGTGTGTCGTTCCGGTCCTTAAACTTTCAAAACGCTCGTTTGGTCCCTAATCTCTTGTCAGGTCTCAATCCCATCAAAACTGGTCTATTCCCTCTCTCTGCCCCCGTTTCCCGAGCTCCCTCCGTCATCTCTCTTCCCAAACAGAGCAGCGGCGCACGTTGGCGTGTGGGCTGCGGCAGCGCGGCGAGCAGCGCTCTGCATGCGGGGGAGGGGGGTTGTGGCAAGCAGCACGCGAGGGTGGCGGCGACGGCGCGCGTGCTCCTCGGCTCGATACCCGGCCATGCGCACGACAGAGGGAGAAGCCGAGCCTGAGCGTGGCCTAATCGAGGATGAAGATGACGGTGCTGCCCCGACCATCTTGAGGATGGCGTGTGAAGGAGAGAAGCACGATGGTGCTGTCGGCGAGCAAGCAGCTGCTTGTCAGCCGAACTGCTGAAGCCGGCTAACTGAACTCAAGTTCAGTTACGGCCTTCTCTGTTTTTTAGAAAGGCATTACGACCTTCTCTGTTATTCAGCGATTTACTCCCAATTTTGTATGTAATCAACCTGATCGGCCTTAATAAAACTTATTCAATGGGCTATGATCTATAACATTGTTTTAAGAACTAAGGTCTAATTTTTACTGGTTTGGAAGATCTAAAGCCTCAAAGTTTGACAAAAATTCTGCATACCAAGCATCAGTTTCAGAGTTGCAATTCAGTTTAGGAGGACAAACTGGAACGCGGCATCCACGAGCGGCAGGAACACGAGGCCGAGGTCTGCAGGACCGGGGCGGTGAGCGGGCGTCAGGAGAGAGAGGATGGAGATGCGCCGGCAGCGGCACAGGCGACCTCTTCCAGCAGGGACGAATCCACGCGGTGAACTGGGCCTGCTGCTTCCCGATGAACGGCTCAACCAACCACCAGGACGCCTCTGCGTCGTCCATCCCCAGCTTCCCAGCAACGCCGTCCTCGTCGTACGGCCCGCTGCTGCGCAGCCGCTGGTCTTCTCCAACATGCCTCGCTGCTGGGGCTGGACGCGCACCACCGTCTTCACGTGCACGGTGCACCCACGAACACCTCTGGGCTCTGGAGGCTCCTCCTACCCGGTGGTCGGTGGTGGCAGCAGCGTTGGGCCCAGGAACGTGTACTGCAGGGCTTCAACGTCGTCGGAATTAGGCGAGCTGGATGGGTTCGCGGAGGAGGTGTATGCCGCTACGTCGAGTCGGAAGAGCACGGCGAGGCTGATCACGATGACGTTGGCATCGGCGGCTTGGGTGGGCATGCGCCGGCGTGGTGACAAGTCTGAGAGGAGGACGTGGGTACCGGGTCAAAGACCGTTTGGATGGGTAAACGAGACCCAAATCAAGTTTAGGGACCTATGACCGTTTTGTAAGTTTAGGGACCGGGATGACATACTCACACAAGTTTAAGAACAGCTGGTGCACTTAACTCAAAAAAGAATGTAACAGAAAAGACTGAATGAAACAGCAGCTAGTGTGAAAACTGTGAACGAACGGCCAGGTCAGTCAAACATGCAAACCGGTGGCTCCTCTGATTCACAAAACTGCATGGAACTCCGCTCCCTGCCATTAACTGGTACCTGACCAACGAGCAAAGCAACTAGTGCCGCACGCTCATCAGTCAGGCCTATTTAAGCGAGAGACCCTTGCCACATCCAGCCTCTAGACTCTGATCGCTGCCGCCGGCGAACAGCATCACAGAAGAAGCACAAGACTCTACCATGGCGACAGTGAGGGGCTTCACCTTCTTATTCCTCTGCTGATCCTTTTCTCACCATCACCAGGAGTGACAGATGGATTTGGTTCTTCCATTCACAGGAAGCGTTCAGGCGATTCAGGTTCCAGGTTGAGATGCACTGCCGCTGCATTGGCTGCGTCAGGAAGGTGGAGAAGGCCATGGCGTCCATTGGGAGTTTCAGTGGTACATCCTTTCTAACTGTTCATCTCCTCTCACTCTATATCGATTCTGCAAATCAGAATAAAGATTTTTCTTTTGTGACACAGGAATTGAAACTTCTGTGGGAGATGTTAACAGTGGGATTATCACGGTGGTTGGAAAGGTGAACCCAACAGAGATTTGCCACTGGCTGAAGAGGAAGACGAAGAAAAATGTCAAAGCTGTGTACCCTGATACTCCAATTGAGGATCACAAACAGGTACTTGCTGTATGATAATAGAGTAGAATGAATGGCAACATGGTGTCAATTTTCTAGATGAATATATTTCAATTTGAATACTTTAATATCCATTGGACTATAATGTGTATAGTATGCCAAATAGAAGGAAAGTGCTTTGACAGATCAAAGCATATTATCAGAAGTTTAAATGGTGTTAGACTACAAAACCATGTCAAAATCTGACAAAGCTGCGCAGCAGACATAGATACTGGTTAACTATGTCTAACAGTCCGCCTTCACCATGATTTCGAAACCTGAAACTAACACCTGTACTTGTTTGCAGAAAATGATATTGGTTCTAGGAAGCAGTTCACAAGGTGGGCACCCTACACCCTCTGCTCCACCATTACAAGATGACATGCCCTGGGCTTTGGTACCATCAGGAGTTCAACCAGACCATGAGAGCCTACATTTCATTGAGGAGAAGATCAGGGATGAGCTGAAGATCAAGAAACCGCAAAACGAGCTGATGGCAGCCAAGATTGAGCTCAAACAGTCAATGAGAGTGATCAATGGCAGTAAGAAGGTTTTGCTGGATAGTGCTTTGAATCAGCTCAAAGCATACAAGAACCTAGAGGCACTTAGTCAGTAAAGTTAAAATTTATGCCAGCAATTTGCAAAAATGGGACTCAGGGCCTGAGAGGGTCATTTATAGTTGCTGCAATTTTTTCGCTGCAGCCATGTTCTGCACCATGTTCTGTGAAGGTGGTTTGCTACTAAGTAAAAGTTATCAGTTATTGGGTCTTTTGTATCTATCAAACCTGTGCACCCTTTTTTACTACCAAAACACCATTGGGTGTCAATTTCCTTCCTAACAGGGCACTTATCCTGCATGACCTTTTGGTGAATTACTGGTTCATTTCCTCCTTTTTCTGATATCTGTTAAGTGATCTGAGAGTTAGATGATATCAAAGTAGCAGATTACACAGAAGTTTCAGCAGTGATATTGCTACACACAGAAAGCTATAGTGTTCAATTAACTGAGAGTCAAGGGCAAGGCTACTGAAGCAACATATAACAGCACGCCACAATCAACATGCTCAAATTCAAATTTATTACTTTTGTGAGTTCGAGGAACAAACTGGTGAACTGATAGTTGTTTCAGACGTGTGGCCTGTGGTCGCCATCGTCGTCGATGTGGAGGTTGACTCCGTGACTGCGCAGCGCGTTGAGGATAGCCCAGACCTTGGTCTGGTTCTTGAACCCTTTCTTCGCGACCTCTTTCGCCGCGTTGGCGTATATGGGCTCCCGCGCGAGTCCGTCCACCTTGAGGCGCATGGCGAGCACCTCGCCGACGGCTGCCGCCGCCTTGGCGTTGCAGGCGCGGCCGCACTCCAGCCCGTCTCGCAGGGGCCGCTCCGCGGTCGAGGCGGTCGTCACGATGCGGCCGCTCTGCCGGTCCACCACGTTCGCCGTCACGTACTTGAGCGAGATGAAGAGGCGCAGCACGTAGCGCTTGGCGACGGACATGGATCGGTGGCCTCCCTCCGGCTAGGAACTGCGGGGTGGCGGAGGAAGATGGAAGCGCGACTGCGCGTGCAGCGGACGCGTCAGCGGTGGCGTTTCGTCGAACGACTAGAGGGCGCGGCCGTTGACGTGACCGACGGCGCAACGAGCGAGCTCGTGGGCGCAAGCGGGTGGTGGCGGGAACAGAGTGGTAGTCGGAGGAACTAGGAGGAGGCAGTGTGGTGGAATTGCGTGATCACCGCGGGCCGTGGCGGCGCCGGAGGCGAGGCTCCCTGTCGTCGGCCAGCTGACCCGACTCGACGACTCGCTAGCTATCGACAGGCGCTATGGTATCGTGCTGGCTGGATTGGTAGGAGTGAAAAATACTGTTTCTGACTAGAAATCTATGATCGTTTATGAACAAGTGAACATGCTGCAAATAGGTGAGGGGAGAGCCCAGGTTGCCTTTTTTAGGGCTGATTCCTTTGACTAGGAACTGTCACAGGGAACAATTCTCTAATTTATATAATTTTAATCGGTCGTAATAATTTTCTGGCTCAATTCACCCTAATGGAACAAACCCTTTGAAACGACGTTCATGTCGCCTAGAGAGAAGACGAATAGGCCTCTTTAAAATAAACACACCGCAGAAATTAAATTCTAAGTGCGGCACGACTGCTCCCAAGGTGCAGCACTGCGGCACTGCCTCACTAAAGTGCGGCACTGCTACTCCTGCAGACAAGCTCGAACTACAATTCAAAAACTGTCAAGAAAAAGTAGATCGAACAAATTACTGATGTTTCTGGAGTAGTATAGAGCCTATTCCACCACCAAGATGTTGGTGGAAGTGCACGAGCAAGTAGATCAGGATCAAACCCTAGAATCACCACAAATACAAGTATAGCAATGCGAATCACAAGAACACAAGTGACACACCGATTTATTCCGTGGTTCAGCTCGCCGCTAAGGATTGCCTATGTCCACGTTGTTGAGGTAGCCACAAAAGCTTTGGTCTCTTTCAACCTTATTCTCGTTCTCAAGTCAAGAGAATGAACTCTTGAGATGAGGGATAATTTCACTAGATGATTAGGATGATTACAAACCTCACAGGGCTGCAACACAAGTTAGAAAGTTCCACGGGCGACCCTCTTGCCGGCTAGAAGCAAGCTCCAAGAGTAACAAACATAATCCACCGGCTTGAACGCGAACCAAGTATTCTAGGAGATGAAGGACAGTTGGGGATGCTCTCTAATATACTTTGGAGGCTCAAACTTTCTTGGATTTAGAAGGGAATCAAAGAGAGAAGCTTGAGGGTCTCTAATGGTAAGTGAGAGAGAGAGCATCGCTTTTCTGTTTTTGATAAGCTGGAGTGAGGAAGAGGTTCCAGAGAGCCATTAGGGAGAAAGAAGAAGGGTATAAATACCCTTAAGCCCCAACGATCACTTGAGTCGCGGCAGTGCCTCTCTTCAGGTGCGGCAGTGCCTCACCTGCCAGGCAGCACAAAAGATAGGATTGCAAAGCTTGCTGTCTTGGCTAAGGCTTTAAAGATATTTGGTGGGTAAATGAGCACTTGATTGCATATTAAAGCTTGTGCATTGTATCTCCCTTTATAGTACGGTTTATCCTAAACTTAAATTCAAAACATCAAAGAATTTAAACACCTTTGAGTTGCACCGGATCCTTTTATAATTGGGGGTTTCCACCATCGCATGCATTATCCTCTTTCTCAATATCACTTCATAAAGGCTTTGCAATCATCTTTGTCTCATTTCTTCGAGCAAACATATCTTGAGCATGTGGCTTGAACCATTTCCATACATATGAGTTCACCTCATGGCTTCAAGTCACTTATACTAATGATTTGATCATCAACACAATATGACTCCTTATAGCTTGATTAGTTCCTCGACTCAATGCAAGTACTCTCTTCTTCACCTTAGTCATGGAACTTCGGTCCTCAAGCCATCACTTGCCCTTCACCTTCGCTTAGTCCTTCGAAGCTCTTTCCTTGCTATCTTCACCTTATCAAGCCATACACAAGTCACATCATTTTAAGCATCCATTGAAAAATTATTTCTTTAATAGTATAATCCTTGCTTGAATATCTTCTATATATGAATATTGAGATCAATCAAGCTTTAGTTTGATTCACATAAAGACATATATGAAACAACATCAATATGGTCAAGCTAATTCATGATTCCTTATATCCTCTTTATTTTATCTTGACACTCATAATACTCACTTGAATATCTATCTTCATACTTCTAGCTTGATCAAGTCAATGCAAAGTGATTTTTTAGATCATTATCCATACAAGCAATCTAATGTAGAGAACATCTTATATCCATTATACATTGTCTCCTTTGTCATTTCACCTTTGCTTAACATTTCCTCACTTATACACTCTTGATTCATTCTTCAATCCTTGATCAAAGCTAGTCCACTATCCAACTCTTCTTATTTATGCAAAGCAAGCCATTATAGAGATCAATCCAAAATCATCAACTCATGTCTCATTTGCCATTTGCCAAATATGTTTGCTTTCATATGATGATATGATATCCCACAACATAAAAGCCATTTCATTGATTCTATTTGCATTGTTGTCTTTTGCTTGAACTAGATTATTTCCGTAATCTTTCAATACAACAATATACAATTTTGTCTTCATTACAATACTATGTAGCATATTATCAAGTTTGCCTTCTTGTTGAACCTTTGACGCACTTCTTATTACACAATTCACAAGTGTATGTAATAAACTCAATTTCCTATTCAACACCTAGCAAACTTGTTAGACCTTTAATGGTGTTGCCATTCAATTCACCAAAACCCACTAAAGGGCTAGATGCACTTACAATCTCCTCCTTTTTGGTGATTGATGACAATACAATTAAAGCTTACAAGAGATTGATAAATAATAAGATTTTGAATCCTATGATATAATGAGCTCCCCCTAAATGTGTGCATCAAAAGGAATTCAAATTTTGGCCTCAAATGTCAAATCCACATATTCAAGATAAAGTGTGGGAACTCTCCTATATCTTAGCATCCGTGGGGTGCAAGGTGTCATCATGATAAACGTGATGCTCATGGCAGTTCATGCACTCAAGAAGTTTCTGAAGCTGTCATGTACAGCACTTCCATAAGTGAGCGCGGCACTACCGCACAGTGGCAGTCAGAGAAAATAAACAACATATCATTCAAGGTATGAACATCACACACTAGCATATATGGTCCTTATTAAGAGCATCAATTTAAACTATCTTGCACACACCACACAATAAAAATTAAAAAATCTTATATGCCTCCCTTTTACCTCTTTAAATCCCCATATCAATCTCTTTTCCTTACACTCTCTCCCAATATTTCTCCTCCTTTGACATTAATCTCCAAAAAGGATCTCTCCACCAAAAGAGAAAATAATGGTAGACAAGTGAGGGCAAGAGGTAGGTAAAAGTTCAACATATATGATTTCTCTACTGAGTTTTCTACCAAACAAAGTATGCAACATGTTAAGTCAAGATTCTTGAGAAGTCAGCATATTTGGCTCATACCTCACTTAGATGAGACTTTTAACATAAGACTGACTCATGCCATCATCATAAGAGATATCAACCAAATATCTAAATAATTCTCTAATCGTCACCACAAGAACAAACTCATGGTGTGACTCAAAATATTGTATACATATGCACACACTAGCATGTAAGGGCATAGATGCACAAAGGTAGTACAAGAGTTCATGGAGCGATATACCTTTGTTCTAAGCCTCATAATCTTCACCGTTATCATGATTGTGGGGGTATGGCCTCCGGTATCCACAAGACAAGACATTAGCCACACTATCAGAGGTGGCCCAACCCATAAGATCAAGACGTGCACAGCGCTGCTCGGCGTGCACCACAAGCTATTGTATAGTACCAAATATGATACTTTTCTTGTAACCCTACCCCTCTAGAGTATATAAAGAGAGGCAGGGGTCCCCTAGTGGACAGATCGATACATCTCATATTCAATACAATACACCAAAGACACAGGACGTAGGGTATTACGTCGATCAGATGGCCCGAACCTGTCTAAATCGCTGTCTCTGCGTCTCGTGTCACCATCCGGTTCCTGATTACGCGCACCCCCACCGAC